CGGGATTGGGGGGTATGGGATTTGGGGTACGGGGTTGTGGGTACAGGAATGGGGGTACGGGATTTGGGGTACGGGGTTGGGGGTACAGGAATGGGGGTACGGGATTTGGGGTACGGGACTGGGGACTCGGGATTGGGGTCAGGGGGATTGGGGTGCGGGATTGGGGTGCGGGATCGGGGGCTCGGGATTGGGGTCAGGGGGATTGGTGGGTCGGGGGAATTGGGGGGTCACGGGAATTGGGGGCTCCATCCCTGCGCTGAGCTGTGCTCGGGCTCTGTAGTCGGTGGGATTTCGCCTCCCCCTCCCCATTTTTTGGGGGTAATTTTGGGGTTCCCAAATCCCTTCCTCGCCCCCCTAAACCCCCCCCATTTTACCCACCCCCCAACCCCCAGGGCTTTTCCACCTTTGTGCCGCTTCCAAGGATCCGTCCCCGCAGAGCTCGGAAGTTGGGGAGTCCTGAGGGGTCCTGGGAGGGGGGTCCCCGTTTCCCCCCCTCAATTTTGGGGTCCCCCGGGTGTGGTCACTGCTGTGCTGAGCTGGGTCCGGCCTGTGCTGATCCCCCCTCCCTCCCCTTTCCCGTTTTCCCCCCTTTTTCACCCATTTTGCTGTGCCAATAAATGCCGCCCCCCCAAACTCCCCGTGGGGTCCGCGGGAATTTGGGGATCCCAAAACTTTTGGGGGTGTCGGTGACAGCCCCCAGCCCCCCCTCCCCAGGTGTGGGAAGGAGCTGGGATATGGTGGGGGGCACTGGGGGGCAAATGGGAAGGATTTGGGGGGCACTGGGAGCACTGGTGAGGGGCGGGAATGGACTGGGAGGGATACGAGGGGCACTGGGAGGGACATGGGGGGTCACTGGGAGCACTGGGAGGGACATGGGGGTCACTGGGAGCACTGGGAGGGACATGGGGGTCACTGGGAGGGACATGGGGGGGGTCACTGGGAGCACTGGGAGCGCCCCCGCCGTCCCCGCTCCCCCCGTGCCGGGTGTGGCCCCACCGCTCCCCCCGCGGCCATCGCCGCTTTAAGGCCGCGCCCTCGGCCCCGCCCCCGGCCGGACCTGCCGGACCGGTCCGCCCCGCCCTGCCCCGCCCCCACCCCAGGCCCCGCCCCCGGCCCCGCCCCTGCCCCCCTGTCCCGTCCCGCACCGAGCAGCACCGGCCCCTCCGCCGCCACCGGCCCGGCTCGGCCCGATCGGCCCCGGTCCCGCCCGGTCCCGCCCGGCGCGGCCCGGCCAGGCTCAGCCCGGAGTCCCCCGGTGCGTCCCGGTGGCTGCCGGTGGCTCCCGGTTCCGCCCGGTACCGCCCGGAGGGACCCGTGGAGGCTCTGCCCGGGCTGTCCCGGGGTGTCCCGGTGGGTGCCGGTGGGGCCCGGTCCGGCCCGGATGGTGCTGGCCGGGGGCCGAGGCGCGCCGTGAGCCCGGAGCGCTCCGCATGGACCCCCGCGGGATGCGGCCCGGGGCGCCCGTCCTCCTCCTCACCTTCCTCCTCGGCGTTACCGGTAAGGCCCGGGGGGGACACGGGGGGCACCGGGACCGGGACCGGGACACGGACAGACACCGGGACAGGCACCGGGACCGGGACACGGACAGACACCGGCTGTCCCGGCTGCCAGTCGGGACGGGGGTGGGGATGGCAGCGGCGGCACCGGCTCCCACGGGCGGGGGGGAACCGGCACCGAGTGTCGGGAGGGAACCGGGGACAGCCAGGGGCAAGTCCCGGGGGACACCGGCAACCCCCGGAGGGGCGAACCGGGACCGGGGGGGGGAGCGGCTCCCACGGGGCGGGGTG